CTTCAGCTTCGAGCAGTTTCTGTAAAACTTGTTCGGTTTTTGCCATTTCTCTGTGGCCTCCGTGTTGAATTGGGTTGAGCCCGTTTCAGCTGTAGACGACGAGTCTACAGTCTCATTCAAACCATTCGATGCCTCTTGAGATATTTTGCGAGCAGTCCAATCTGATCCTAACCCCCTTCAAGATGGCTGCCCCAGCAACGCGTACAAAGACAATAACGGCTAATTCTCTGTCACCTTCGCAGGTATTGGTGTAAAATTAGGTGTAGTAGCTGAGAGTCACTCACAACGCACATTCCAAGAGCTACGATGACTTGTTGTGCAAGATGTGATTAAAACTTTAACCATTGGGATTAACTGCCTGTCTGTTAGCAAAATATCTCAAACCGTCAAAGTGAACACTGTAGCTACATGTACGACTGATCACCCTTTGGATCTGAGTTAGAAGGTCAAGTTTTTTAAGGTTTCATCAAATCATGATGACCTCACGTCTCATCATGAGATCTTCGTCAAACTGGCTTGACGGGTGGCGGGCGATATGCAGTTCAAGGGATTCTAGACGTTTGATTGACTGTTCCCACCTGAGAACGAACAGAACCCGCCCGGTTGAATTCTCTTTAGTAAAGTTGACACCATATATTCACAAACCAATTCTTTCAGTGGAAGCTTCAGAGGAGTCGACGGGGGAGAGGACGGACTCCAGAAACCATCTTATCACCATCAAACATCAAACTGGTTGGCCCACTGTGCGAATGTGCTGCTTGTGGGACTGGGTTTGTTGTGGCTCTGTGGACTGATGAAGTCCTTCGGATGAAGGATGAAATGTTTCAACAAAAAAAGAAACCGTCCACAGGACCTGACTAAACTTTGTTGGGAAGTTCAATGAAGTTCAAAAACTAAAAGCAGAACTTGTTCATCTCTGAGCTGGGATGGGGGTTATTGATTGTCCCAGTGGATCTGATAAATCTTTACCATAAATCGAATGTAAACATAGAAAACACAGTCTTTGTTGCTTCTCCCGTTGAAATTACCAGGTTGAAAAGTGTATGGATTTGTTGTGTGAAGGGCTCCAGGGTGTGCAATTCAAGATGCCAAATATTGGACCATCACACCCAACAACAGAAAATTAAATTCTAAAAAGGGTATTTGGTTGTTCTTGTTGTTGTTCTGCTGAAAAGGAGAAGTTGTAAAAAGGTTTATTCTGTTTAGGTTCTTGGTATTTTTTTAATTTTATTTCTTCTTTCGGCTTTTCCATCTTCAGGGTCTCCACAGCAAGTCCTCCTCCATCTCACTCCTCTGTCCTCCCATCTACGTTCATGCCCTCTAACTGCATCCAGATGTCTCCTCTTTGTCTTGTTCTGGGCAGCTGCATTTCTAACATTCTTCTACCAATATACCCACTGTCCCTCCTCTGGACATGTCCAAACCACTGTCCCTCCTCTGGACATGTCCAACCATCTCAGTGTGTCCTCTCTAACTTTATCTCCCAGTTGTTCAACCTGTGCTCCTCTGATGATCTCATTCCTGATCTTCTCCATCCTTGTCTCTCCTAAGGAGAACCTCAACATCTTCATTTCTGACACTTCCAGTTCTGTCTCCTGTCTTTTTGTCCATGTCTCTGTCTCCAGACCATACAACACAGCTGGTCTCACCACTGTCTTGTAAACTTTTCCTTTTGACCTTTGCTGACACATTTTTTGTCACAAATCACTCCTGAAACTTTTCTCCATCCACTCCATCCTGCCTGGACTCTCTTCTTCTCCTCTTTACCACATTCCCCATGTTCCTGGACAGTGGACCCCAAGTCCTTGAAGTCCTGCACCTTGGTGACCTCTGCTCCTTGTAGCCTCACTGTTCCACCTCCTCCCTCTCATTCACACACATGGACTCTGTCTTACTACGGCTGACTTTCATTCCTCTTCTTTCAAGTGCATACCTCCACCTCTCCAAGTTCTCTTCCACCTGTTCCCTGTTCTCACCACAGATCACATAATCTGCAAACATCATAGTCCACGGGGATTCCTGCCTGACCTCTTCTGTTAGTCGGTCCATCACCAGAACAAACAAGAAGGGGCTCAGAGCCGATCCTTGAGGCACTCCCACCTCCACCTTGAAGCTGTCACTCCTACTGCATATCTCACCACTGTCCTGCTGTCCTCATACATGTCCTGTACCAGTCCAACATGTCCTGCTGTCCTCACACATGTCCTGTACCAGTCCAACATGTCCTGCTGTCCTCACACATGTCATAACCCTCTGGTAGCTTAAGGTAACCCCAACCCTCGGCACCCTGTCAGATGCTTTTTCTAAATCCACAAAGACACAATGGAGTTCTTTCTGACCTTCTCCGTTCTTCTCCAGCTGCATCCTCGAAGCAAAGATGGCGTCTGGTGCGCTTTCTCTGCATGAAATCACACTTTTTAGAAAAACTTTTAGACATAGCTTGTTTGATACTTTTGGTTTCTAACTAGTAGTGTTGGTTTCAGCTCTTTGCTTCTTAAACTTTAACTATCCTTTTGCTTCTTACTTTTATTTGTGTTTTGATAATTAGTTTCATCTAACTGTTTATTACTTTTTAGATACTCTTGATACTTTTTAACTTTTATCTAACACTTTGCTACGTTTTGTTTGTAGCTAACTTCATGCAACGTCTAGTGATTTTCTACTTTTTGCTTTAAGCTAGACTTTTGCTACTTTTAGTTTTTAGGTAGCTTTTTACTGTTTTAGCTTTTACCTGACAGTTTGCTACTTTTAGCTTGGAGTTAGCATTCTGGTTTTCGTTTTAAATCGGCTTTTTCCAGATTGAACAAAATGCAGTTCTCTGGTGGTGGATGTGCTGTTTCTAGACAAGTTATAAAAATGTATAATTGGTTTAGAGGCCGTTTTTATGAGTTTGAGTTTCTCAGATACCATAAATCCTGACCTAAGAATTGGATCTGTGCTCAAAAAAGACCAGAAGGATGAAAGAAAAGGTCACCAGAGGAGGGTAGGAACTTAAATTGAATGTGTGTTTAGAAAAGCAGGACGGAAAAGGACATAAAGGAGGAACTGAACAATTTGCATAGAAATGCTGCTTGTGTTGTGATATTGTTATAAAATGTAAAAATGTTGTTGTGTGGAGGGAAACGAGAATCCAAATGAAAACAAATGTGCTTTTACTATCTGACCCCCCCCCCCCCCACTCCCACACCCCTCTGACAACCCATTCTTTGCTTCATGCTTTCTCACCCACCTGTAAATATCTGTCCTTTTGCCTGAATTGAATCCCCCACAAATCCTTTAACAGCAACACACACACACTATATATATATATATA